TGCCCCCCCCCCAGAGAAATTTCCTAACTACGCCCCTGATGAGAAGTGAGGAGAACCTCAAGCCTCATCCGCAGTGGCAATTTTGCAAGTTGGCGACACTGTTTTTTCTACATTTAAATCCATTAAAAATATCGATTTTAGATGAGGCAAGCTGCATCACTCCGAATCGATTTTTTTACATACCCTTAAATGGAGGAAAAACTGCAGTGTTGCCGACTTTCAAGAATCGACAATGGCCTCATCTCTTACAGTTTTTTTACAGGTCAGTGAAATTCACAAGTTTCTTATGGGTACGAGTTTTTTTATACGAGTTTTTCACGGACCATTGCCACAAGGCAAGTTGGATTATTATACTCGGTATTCTTTTCAATAATCTGAGCTTAGAGGACCTATTCACGGGTTTAATCCTCCGCCTTATTCAGAACTATTGACTCCAAAATTTTCAACGAAGATTGCATCTGTACAGCGGGTTAATCTTGAGTTACTCAAATTCGAGTGCTTCACCAGCAGATTTACTTACCACAAGTTCGATACAGAAGTTAAGAACATTCTGAACCATGCCGCAATTGAAACAGCTGCCGTAGATTTTGTTCTGTTTGCGGACTCGGAATATTGTTTCAAAGTGTTTACCGTGAATTGATCATCCGAATCATTTAATGTCAAATGCAAAACTGCATTCTTCTTTCGTCTTCTGCCTAGGCGGAATAACTCCAGACACACTCAGTTTTGTTACGTATGGTGCTTATGACAATTTTTTCTCTTTCTGACGGACAAAGTCATTCAATAGTCGTCCGTTTCTCGTCTCAGTGGTTTTACATGACAGTGAAGTGGAGAACATGATGCTGAAATTATTTGCTTTTGCAGCCGTATTAAATGCTTTTATCCGTGAGTACATTACAAACATGTGATGGGAAAATGAGCCTCAGTACTAATAGTTTTAAAAAGACCGCTTATCTTAATGTCTTAAGTATCTATTATCACAATGCATTTAAATGAAAGTTAGTTAATTTCAAATTTACTGCACTCACATTTCCGTCTTAAAAAAGCTTGTAAGGGAGACGAAACGTGTCTCATGATGGAAACTCAACTTGTCCAATATGGAAAAACCCCAGTTTGAAGTCAGAGATATGGATTTTCAGTTTTCGACGATGAACACTATCTGATCCTCTGAAGAACATCACATAAGGTCAAAGTTTCAAGCCAGAACTCGCATCGTTAATGATGTTTTAGACTAGGAATGAACTGTTTCCAGAGCAGGCATCAGTGCCGACGGACTTGATAAAGTTCCTCGTTTTTCGTCCGTGAACTTTAAATTACGGCCAGAAGGTCAATTTTTGAAAATTTTGGATGTTCTTAGCGTCCACTGACGCAAAATTATCCTTTCTGTGCTGTAGAATAGTAATCTCATTTTTTATATTTACTGTCTTGTTGCACATTTTGCCTGATTCCGTTGTATGATACCTAAAAATTTCGAAATAAAATTTGCAACCGTTCTTGAGTTGAGATATAAATTGCCAAATAAAGAACTTTGCAACGTTGCAATGCGCAATAAGCTTCCGCCCCGGGCGCTTACTTCTTTGCCTTCTTACAACTTTCCTCATATGAATACATCTCTCCTAACCCAAGTAGCATGGATTGCAATTTCATTGCAATGGATTGTGAGTTGATTGCAATTTTTGCTTGTTGCCTATACGTTCATTTGAAGGCGCTTAAAAAGTTGCAATTTTATTGCAATAAGTTTGCAAGAAATGTAGATTATGCTTGTTGCCTAACCTTCTTTTTCAAGGCACTGTAAAGACTGCAATTTCGGTGCAATCATGTTGTAACAAATTCACGCCATGTGCCTGGCATCCAATTCTCTAGTTGTTTTAAAGTTTTTTCGACTTAAATGTCTCACCTAACCCATATAGCCCAACATATTTTGAAAATATTGTCACCTTTATCAAAATATTTTCATGGCAATATTGTAATTAAGATATTTTCAAAATATTTTTAAAACATTTTAAAGGAATATTTTGAAAATGTTTACAAACAATATTTTTAAAATAATTCAAAAATATTGCCTGTAAACATGCATGTTAAAAATATTCCTTAAGAAAGTTTTGAAAATATTTTAAAAATATTTTTTGAAAATATTTTTAAGTTCTCAAGTTAGTATGTGGTGTAATTTACACCGGTGTAAATTTAGTGTGAGTACCTATTACGTGATATCGAAAAAAAAATCAGACAAAAAAAATATGAAAAAAATAAATAACACGAAAAAAAATAAATAATAGGCAAAAGAAAGAAGCCTGAGAAAAACGGCGTTAATCAAATCTATGATGAATGTTGAGCCACGCACTGACGCAATGCATGCGATAACAGCCTTAACAGGCGTGATTTCAACCCAGCTCATTATCAGCTCCCTGTAGCTCAGTGGAAGAGTGCTCCGCTGTGACATTCGCGGGTCGGGTTCAAGCCCACTCAAAGGCGTCCGGTATTTTATGCTGCTAAACGTCGTAGGACATTAGGTAAGCATGGGTTCGAATTATTATAATTTCCCCGGAAAATTTAGGGGTTGAAATTTAAAGGTCGTCAATATTGAAATTTCTTTGCAAAAAAAAAAATTGCAACTTTTTTACAATGAGGGGGTCAGATGTTGTAAAATAATTGCAATTTTCTTGCAAGAAAGTTGAAATCATCTGGAAATTTTATTTCATTTAAATTGCAATTTTTTCGTTGCAAAATGCTACTTGGGAACCAAGTAACACAGGCTGCAACAAATATTGCAATTGCATGATGAAAGGATGAAGCTACATCGAGGTGTGGTACATGTTGCCTATATGCAAATGGAAGGAGCCCCTCTTATAGAAATCTTTTTGCAATAAAATTGAAATAATGTGATTTTTTCTCTACATAGCTAATTGCTCATCCTTTTAGGACGTGAAACCCATTCTAGTGATCGTTTAAAATTGGCGTTCATTGACCAAATGGGTTAAAAATATTGTAATTTCATGGCAAAAAATTGCAGCCTAATTAATTACTCTCGATTGCAATTGGGCTGCGTTTAACAGGAAGGAACCAGGCCATATTCACTATTGCCAAATTTAAGCAGACACTTTAATTTTTTACGATAGAACATTTGCACACAAAAAATTGCGACCTAATTGCATTCAATTGCAATTGGACTGCGTTCAGCAGGAAGGAACCAAGCCATATTAGCCATTGCCAAATTTAAGTAGACACTTTAATTTTTTACAAGAGAACATTTGCACACAAAAAATTGCGACCTAATTGCATTCAATTGCAATTGGACTGCGTTTAGCAGGAAGGAACCAAGCCATATATTAGATATTGCCAAATCTGAGTTGACAATTATTTTTTTTTTTTATGAGAGCACATTTGTGCAGATTCCTAAGAAAATTTTAAAGGATTTGCTTCGCGCTATGCAGAAATTTCACTGAAACTTGCACAAATGTTCCCTTGTAAAAAATTAAATTGTGCAATTAAATTTGGCAAAAGCTGATGTGGCCTGGTTCCCTCCTGCTTAACGCGGTCACATTGCATCTCAAGATTTTCTATGCTCTCTGCTGCTTTGGTAGGCATCAGGTATCACATTTTCCTAACTTTCATATTTATGATGTTCATTTGTTTCAGAGACTGTTGACGGTGCTGCAGGAGGTTTCAATGCAACCGTGAAAATCGCGCTTCCTAAAGCCCCCGCCCCTGTTGAGTTCTACGTCCCTGGTAATGTGCCATGCTACAATATGCCTTCCCCTCGATATCAGGATCAAATTCGAGAGATAATAGGGATAACTTGCGTTAGAGCTTACCACATGTTGGATTGCAAAGGAAAGCAGGTCCCGGTGCCTGCAGGGAAAGGATATAGCTGGAAAGCTGACCGTAAAGACATCCCCAACTCTCTTGGAGTATGCTGATTATTCCTGCAAAAATGTCAGCTGTAAACCACGCGCCAATTCTGCCGTGCTGAGGAAAAACGCCGTGAGATCCTTAAAATGTTGCCTTATTTCCCTCAATATAAGTCATATTCACCAGGAAAATTGTGAATATTTTTTTTCAAGTTTTCAGACAATTTTGTTCGCGGTTTAATCTAAGATAACTGAAAATTCAAGTGAAATTATGCGAATCTTTCCCCGCAAATACGTGTTTTATTCGGGGAAATTTGGCAACTCTCGAATGTTCATACGGCGTTCTTCCTTAGTGCGGCAGAATTCTGAAGAAAGTTTTTTGTTTAAAAGTCATACATCGACCGTCCGTGCTTAGGAGGAACGCCGTAATGAGCTTCTAGACATTGTAAAATTTCCTTTGATACAACATGAATTTTTGGGAAAATTTATGAACGTCCTCCTCTCAGTTTAACAAAAATTGTATCGCAATTCAAATAAGGGTATTTGATAATTTCCATTTTTCTATTATAATATTTGTTTTTGAAAAAATAGTTAAATACATTTAAAAGAACGAGTAAGTGTGAATTCTCAAAATTTCAAACAGAAATTCACCGGGTAGTAGGCTAAATCTTTCTCACAGTCGAAATGTTTGATAGTCAGAGAAAAAAGACACTTACTCAATGAAACTGTCTCATTATTTCTCGCCGTATGTACTGTACATAGGCGGTTCTAGACCTTCATTCTTGGGGGTGCCCAGAGAGGTGGAAAATGTCGGAAACCGGCTCCAAAGGGGACGGTCGCTCAGGGGAGGCGGGGAGGCCTAAGTTTCTGCCCTCAAGTTTTATCCCTTCCCTGCCCTCTTTTCTCTTTTTCTCTCCTTCCTCTCCACTTAAATACCTGTAAATTCAATTTAAAAATTTTTTAGCAGTACTTTCCTTCAAAACTACAATCTTACCATAAAAAAACAGTGGAATCTTTGTAAAACACGGCTATCAATTTTAATTCTGTTTAAAGCATTTTCTATTGATTGCTGGGATTTTTTCTCACAATGAGCGAATACAGAATCTTTCAAAGCAGTAATTTCACGGTTCCGATAACCGTACTTAATTTTTGCTTGGGGGTGCCTGGCACCCACTGGCACCCCCGTAGAACCGCCTATGCGTATGTAGACAAGTAGGTTAAATAAAATTTTCATTTTTTAAATAAAAATTAGACTGCGCAAGATTAAACAGTTAGTAGATCAGTAAGTTCAGATTAATCTGGATCTATGAATAATTGAAAACGCTCTGTAGAATTCCTGAAATCTATACATTAAAATTTTTGATTGTTTTTGTTTTAAACTTGAACATTTTTACGAACTCTGCATGGAGAAACTAAAGTTAATACTTTCATATAGCACCTTCGGGCCCTCTAAAATATACCACCGACGGTCAGTTTGGAAAAAGGGAGTTTGGTCATACGATCAGCTGCAACAGACTTGAGGCGTAAGTCCGATACATATTTCACAGAGGACAAGTATTAAAGTTTTCCCATCATTGATTCCCGGTTTATTTACATTTTGCATCCGTATCATTGACCTAGTTCCTGTACTGTAAGTGTAAACCATATCGAAGTAACGGGTTGTTCTAGTCTTAGCGCGGCGGATGAGGAGAGGAAGTAAATATTGTAACAGCGATTTGTTGACTTGTATATCTAATCGTAATCGGTAATGATACTGGAATGCACTAATTTTTCCATGCTCTATAGGTATTTCTGCTGATACTATTTGTCAAAATCAAAACGAAAGGCTCGAGGTTCGCGGGTTATTTTCTAGGCCATGCGCGTGACGTGAGGTGCTATTATCGGAGCCTCCTGCGGGCCGATTATTGAAATTGATAGACAAAGCTATAGACAAAGAGGACAAAAGGGATTTGGAGGGATCCTATTGGTGGAAGTGAGTGGTTACAATAGACAAAGGAGGCAGGTAATAGACTAAGTAACGGCAACCCACGAGGGACCCGATAGTTAGTCCATCATTTTCTCCCTCAGTCTATATGAACCAACCATTTCAACCAATAGGATAGCTTCATACGCTTTATGTCTTCTTTGTCTATCGCTTTGTCTATCAATTTCAACAATCGGGCCGCTGCTGTCTCAAACGCGATTGGCACGTCAGCGCGTCATAACACTGGAGACACCTAAATCGTTAAAATACTTCATTCTCATATCAAATATTAACCCTTTGTTGCACGAATTAATTTTGGATCACCGATTTTGATGAAATAAATATATGTGGTAGGTTATGGAAATAAAATGGACCCGTCTTTTGCCGTGTTTTGAAAATTTCGACCTTTGGACCTTTTTTGGGGCCCAAAACCAAATGTTCCCAAACAGCATCACCGATCACTTTGAGCATTTTTAAAAGAAAAATTGAAAGACTTGGAAGTGGAAAATTTTGAGCTAATAAATTGGAGTATTTAGTCACTATTTGTCGAGAATCTGCCAAACTTATGACGACAATATACAGCATACAAGAAAGCGTCGTTTCCCTCACGAACGAACGTAACTCCATTTCAATGTTGCCAAATTTCTCCTCGTACATTTTTTTTTAACTAGGAAAATTACTGGGCATTCCCAACTGAAAGTCTCACCGATTTTTCCTCAGATTTCATTAAAATCAAAAAATTTGGATGAAAATTGCACATGTACATTTTTGAAAAACAAATTAATTGTTTGAGTCAATTTGGCAAACTTGGAATGGAACTACGTTCCTTCGTCCGAAAGACGACGAACTAAGTCTTTTTCGAGATCTTCAGAGGGAGCGTTAACCTTTTGATCATTGTGTTTATGCAGCTATACAAATCCTGTGCATTATTTTCAGGGGTCACTCATTAAAGTTTCTGGACGATTTTTAATAGTTTTCCCCTTCATGTCTCTTCTATTTGTCTTCCGGGTCAATGTAAAATTCAATTTTTTTTAAAATTTTTTGTGTAGCAGCTTTCCAATACACGTTTTCCCCCTATTCAAAGAATATATTCAATTTTTCATTTAACTTACTTCATTCGTCCGATACAGCTTCAAATTTGCAGAAGAATCTTGCAAACATAAATATGAACATTGGTAGTTTTTAAATATTGACTTCGAAATAATAAGAAAATATATTAAAGCTCATTAACCCTGGTAAAAATTGGCAGTAGAATCTGTGTTCCAAAATACCATAGACCTAAAGGCGGCTGAAAGATTTTCAATAGCTTCTGTAGCCGGCTGTACAATTTCTTATAGCCTTTTATAGCCGATGGTGATTAAGCAACAGCCAGACGATAAAGTTTATGCTAAACGTTACTAAATACGGATACTAGGACTTAGTTAGTTTTTGGACTACCGCTCTCTTTTTGTGCCGTAGTATCTTGATATATTTTGCGAGGAAAGCTCCGTACTTTTGAAGGATGCCTGTCATTCTTAATATGTTGGAACGCCTTCAATTTCTTATGATACTGTGCAATACCTCTGGTGTGAAATAGTTGCTTCAGACGCCGTGGCACGCTGCTTCGAGGCGGGCGGGCAGAGAGCGCGAAACGCGCATTGGCGCCTACAAACCTAACAGGGATACTTCACGCATTTCGCAATGCGTGAAGTATCCCTGTTAGGTTTGTAGGCGCCAGTGCGTCGCCGCTCCGCTTTGTTCTAATATTTAATCTCGCGGAGTCAGCGTTTTTCAACTCATGATTCTAAAATGTTTGCACACTCTGTATGGATTATTCTCATTTTAATTGATGAAACAAAATGTGTTTTAAGGGAAAATATAATGTATGTTTTGTAAATATTAAGGTAGTTCCGTAAAAAATCTAATGATTTCCAAAGCACACGAATTTCTACACAATTTCTCATAGCCTTTTATAGCCAATGGCGATAAAGTGTAAAGCCCGGCGATAGAAACTATAGCCCGACTGTATACTTTTTTATAGCTTCATATAGCCCGGCTATTTGATTTGCTCCACTTTCTACAGCCAGCTATATGATTTTCTATAGCCTTCTTTAGTCGGCCATAAGAACTCCTATGGTATTTTGAAACGCAGCTCCTATTGCCAATTTTTACCAGGGAAGCATTGCCACGTCGAAATCACTTTACAGGACTGTGTCGCGACAATTGAATCCGGTACGTATTTTTAAAACTTCAAATAGCAAGTCTGAAACACGCTAAAACTCTCATTCAGTTTTTTTCTCTAAGTTTTATAGTCTTGAAAGTCAGTGCATACCTTTATAAACTTAAAAGTTTGGCCATTGAATCTGACCCTCACTCCTTAACGTACTTAAATTTGAGCCCACAGACGCACTCTGATGGAATATGGAGGCCGAAGATTTTATGAATGACTGCATACCGGGGTTTGCAAACTGCCTGCAAAACTTCACAAAATAATTTAAAATCATTATAATATACGTAGAGAGTAACGCACTACGTGACAAGTAAGCAAAGATGCTTGCTTGCGCAGCGTAGCTACGTTCCAGGTTACAGCTCAAAGCAATAAAAAAATTAAAAAGATCTATACGCGCATTGAGCGCGCACTTAAGCCCTTCAAAGCATTTTTGTGCCCTTGGCGTCTCAGGTTCCGTTTGGGATATCACGAGTGTGCTGTTGAATTTTCAATGGTCGCTGAGTCTCCAGATCGTGCTATAAATTTTGTAGGTTTTCATTTTGTCTGTCATATAATTTGGGTTCCAGGCTATCGCGGTTCCAGTGATCAAAATGATTTGCCAATGGTCAATTGAGGAGCTTGGAGAACATGGAGTGCACTTTTTTTTTTTTTTTTTTTTTTTTTTTTTAAAAAATGAGGTATTAATGATTTCAAGTAAAACAAAGCTTAATGTAGATTCTGTCAAAAATTCGCTCCCAAATTCCAATTTTTAAGCAATAAAAAGTCAGTTTGAACTTTCTCTCCGTCATAAGGATCCACGTAATTTCGAAACTTCAAACACGTATTTCTCGAAATAGCAAAAACTGCACTTCCTTCAAACCTCTCATTTCTTCTTTTTGTCGTTATGGCTTCGACTTATTCAGGATTTACAGGCTTAGTCAATATCAAGTATTCCCTACAATAATGAGCAAGAGGTAAAGTGTAAGACACAATACAGAAACAACAAAAGGCTGAAAATCAGAGTATAAACACAATCAAGAC